GCATCCCTCTGCCCCACCGGTTGCCCAGCCCTAAGGTGCATTTTCAATAGACGTGTGCCCAGGGACTCAGTCCCATGGGCCCCGTGGCAGGACCACATGCACGTTTTGTTGCCTGGCTCTTCATGGCTCTGGTCACACGCTGCTCCTCTCTGTCACATTTCTTTGGTGGGTTTTACACCTGAGGACCTTTTTGCATTGGGCTGCTCCCTGAATAACAAAGCTATCTTTAGCTGTGCTGAATAATTCACATTTGTTCATATTTACAGAGAGGCCAGAGCTTTCCTGTGATGTCCCGAGTGTTTAAAGAAAGACTCAAGGTCTTTCTGGGAACAGATAAATTTATTAGTAAATCATCCCTAAAAAGCCATAGCCTATTCTTATCCCCAAGGCAGCCCCTTCGGACACTGTCCACATGTCTCACTAGAGCACCACAGCAGTTCCAGGGTCAGGAAGAAACTGGATATCCCTGCAAGATCCTGGGAAGGGGAGGATTGGGCTTTGGAGCTTGCCAGCACAATCAATAACAAAATGAGTAGAAAGGAGAAGTGTCTAAGAAGCCTATGACCCTTGAGAGGGCAGCATAGAGTTTGCAGCTCACAGCCAGCAAGAGGAAATTTCTCTTAATGAGTGAACCACCGCAGGGGCTGGATGTGCACGAAACCCTTTAGGACTTTGGTCTTTAGACTTCCCAGCAATAGAAGTTTGCCTGAAAGGCAGTTTCCTCAAAATATGGCATCAGCAGCCTCACAAACATACATATGTTCTGGCAAAATGAATTTTAAATCAATCTACCAGCTCGAAGTGCAAGCTGAATAACTGAAGGGTGCATGTGCTAGGAGGGAATATATTTGGGTCTCAGTAAAATATTCAAAAAGAGTCTCTTAAAAATCATTTGATTTAGCTTGGCTCTGACAAAGACTTAGCAATTTAAAACGCTACGCAAAGCCCTACTAATAACGAATAGCAGGTGGCATGGAGAGCCCAAGAGAATAGAGGGGTGCTGAGATATACAGCATTAAACAGTCTTGCAATCTATATTCAGCAATATGTCCACAAAGGAGCTGGGCGAGGGAGTAAGTAGGATCTGATTGCTGTTCCTAGAGAGTGCTGAGCAGGGAGGAGCTGCAGGCTCTGTGGGCTCACAGAAAAAGGAGGAACAGCTAGAAATAATGAAGAGAAATCCATTTGTAGGGAATGCAGCATGATCCCAAAGCATTGCTACTCACTGGAGACAGGAATGTTGAAAGATGTTTAAGGTTGGCAGCAAATAGTAAATGATAGATCTGCAATGCAACAGATCCCTCCACGGTATTTATTTCCATGGTATCTGAGCGCTGGAGAGATTATGTAACCAGACGCTTTTTGGACAAACTCTTTTCTCTGCTAGGATATGGTAGGAATTTTAACTGTTGACTTTTATTTTGTGCTGGAGGGATGTGCTAAGCTGAGAAAGCAGGGGCTGGTGTCTAGGCTTAGGTGTAGCAAGGTGATCCCATTGCTGTGGAAGAATAACCAAGGCCATGCTGCTAATGCCGCTGGTGCCACTCGCTCGGGCGCGAGCCACCGTGTCGGTCAGTGCTCTTGGTGGGAGCCCAGGCCTGAAGCGTGGCCCTTGGTGGGCTCTGGGAGCTGCTCTTGGGGCCAGTCTGCTGCTGAGGGATGAGCCAGTGGAGGGCCCGAGGTGCCGGAGCGGCGCCTTCCCTGCAGGCTCTGTAGGAGGACGTGTGGGCTGCTCAATCTTGGGAGAGATGACTTGATATCTTATTCTATTTCTAGAAACCCCAACCCTTCATTGCTAAGTGGTGTTTGGTGCAGAAGCAGCAGTGGGAGGCAGCAGAGGCTCTGTTCAGGGTGGCACGGGTCTTTGCCCTTCAGCAGTGGGCAGAGTTTAGGCAAATCAAACATATGGTAGCTCCTGTTTGGCTGGTGGGAGGTGGAGAAGGGCACATGGAGAAGGACACATGCTCTTCCCCTTGCAGAGGAGCATGTGCCTTGCATGGAGAACCAGCTCCAGCAAAGCCCTGCAAACCCTTCTCCTCCACATCGCTGCAAGTGCCATGTGATTGTCATGGGCATTTACATCCGACCCACCTTGTCACCCTGGTGTTTGAAGCACTTGGACAGGTTGTGCCAAATGTGTTTAAAGGGGCTTCAAAGTTATCAAGGGACCTGTAAGCTCCACAACGAACTGCAAGCAGGAGCATCATCCCCAGCTTTGCCCCTCGGCCAACAAGGCCATGGGTTGCACAAAGCGCTGCAGCGTGTGGCACTGAAAAACACGTGAAGAGGAGAGTTGTAAGGCAAAAGCCAACACATTTCATAGGGAGGAGGAGGCAATGGAAGATTATAGTACAACTAAGTCCACCCAAGATGCATCCACAAGGCGGGCTTTATCAGTCCTGTTGCTCCCTGGGCTGTTCCTCTTGCTCCAGCACAGCTTGCTCCCAGACAGCGGTGTGGTGGTGAGGGCTGCATGGGGTGAGGATGTGAGGTTAGGACTAACTGAACAAACTCTGTGTCTTGTCACAAAGATATCTTAATGGGACCAGGAAGTATCCAGGATGTCCCCAGATAGCGCATTGATGACCATGAATCGTAAATTGCTCTGGAGTCACAAGGCCAAGTTCTGTCCCTCTTCCCCAGTATAATCCTATTAAAGATCACAGGGCTGCATCATGCTATTTGAGAAGAATTTGACCTATGCTTCCCCCAAAGCTGCCATAATGAGGGCTATTCTGTGGCAGGGCTTGTTGCTGTGCTGAGAGGAAGTCAAATGAGGCAGATGTTTGGGGGTGACATGGTGTTTTCTTGGTGTAGGCTAGCAGAAGAGAACAGCACATTGACTAATTCGGTGTATCCTGGCGCCTGACATGCCCTCCGTCTGCAGCTGGAAAGCTGCTCAGTTCTGTTAACCCTCTACCCCAGGAAAAAAGAAAACAAGAAACCAGCCAAAGACTTGGGTACAGCTTCTGCATGTTTCCTTTTGTGTAAAATTATGGGCAGCCTATTCCATGCTGCCTTATGCTGGCTTCAGTTTAAAGTGTATTAAAGTCCTGCTCTGGATGAGGTTGGACTGGAACCGAACCACAAATCCTAAGCAGCAGCAGAGCAACAGATTTGCACCCTTAGGTGTGCAGCCCATGGTCAGCACCAGTGCAGATCTCGAGTGCAGATCTCTCGAGCACCCAGCACAAGCAGGAGCTGAGGGGGAAGGCCCCCATCAAAGCACAAGTCGCAGCACAGCATCCATGGACCTCAGGGGTCAATTAGTATCAAGGGTCACTTCATCTCCAAAGGGCTCTGAGCTTCCTGCAAGTCAGATGTCAGGCTGCAGGGGCACTGCCATCAGGCAGGGAAAGCCGAAGTCGGCCAAGGGATTTGTAACACAATCCATAGATGATAAATGATGAGCAACAGCACAATTGTCAGCTCCATCTAAAGCCAGTATTAACTGTTTCTGCAAGTACCAATAATGGAGGAAAAATGACAATATTCTGTGGTGTCTTGGGGGTTTTATTTGTGCTTTACAGGTATTGAATCGTGCCCTGCTTCCCTGTGTGAGGTAGCCTGTTTTGCTGGGAATGCACTGCCCAAGCCCCTGGTGCTGAGGCGCTTTATCTAGAGCGGATTTTAGGGAGAAGGGGATGGTGTCCTGGCCTTCCTGGGCTGCAAAGACCACCCCTCCTGGGTGCTCGGACATGTGGGGCTGCAATGGGGATTTGCCAGCAACAGGCGAGCTGTGCTTAATGGGCATGTAGATGAACAGTCGTCTTCAATTAAAAGCAAATGCCCACGATGGTAATAGCGGCGTGCTGTTTAAATTCATGAATAATGAAATTCCAAGGCTAATCTTGTATTCTGCTGTTGGAGAGTGAAATTAATGCTTCCTGGGGAAGCGCCTGGCCCTCTGGCAGCTCTGAGCTCACCTGGGTCTATCCCCCAATGAGGTGACACAAGAAGGTAAAAACTGCTCCGGGCCACAAGGTCTTTTTCTTGGGTGTTAGTGCTTCTAATTGGAAATTGCAATAAGGAGAGAGGAGGCAGCAGGGGGTCTAAGCAAGAGAAGATATCCAGGGATATGCACAGCCCTCCAAGTTTAGCATCTGAGCACCTCACCGTGGTAAAGTATTCTTGTTATCCTCACGAGGGGTTAGTGGGAAACAGATCTGTCTGTCCCCTCTTGCAGCTGGGGACTAGCAAGGCCGGGTAGTTTATGTCACTTGCCCAAAGGGTTTGCAGCAGAGCTGGGAGCTGGGCTCAAACTCCCCTGGGCCCGGCTGTGACCCTCAGGTGCTCCTTCGTGCCCTCTTTGTGGAGCAGCCTGGCACTAGTGCTGTGACTCCAGGCGCGTGAGGAAGCGGCCAGGTCACCCGGCACGGACTCCGTGCTGCAGCGGCGGCGGGGCAAAGCCGCCCGCCCACCCCCGGCATCGCCAGACCCCGGCTTCCCGCTCCCAATGGCACAGGCAGGACTTTAAACAGAAATGGAGAGCTTGAAGATGCTGCAGCTAACGAGAGCAGCACAACCTGCTGCTACTGGGGAAAACAAGTCGGGCTTTAAATAAGCTGCTGTTGCAGCAAGTGCTGCCTCAGAGCTTGCTGTACTTCAGGCCCTCTGAGCTAAATTCCTTTAAACAGCATTTAGGTGCATTGCAAAACCTGAATATTTGGAGTATTTTCTGCCCCTCTTTCTATATTACCCACTCAAGGAGCGCTGCTTTCAGCTGCACCAAGAACCCCTGTGTGCCCTGGCTGTGCTGGGAAAGCAGAGGGTGCTGCCCTTGGAGCAAAGGGGGCCGTGATTTATGGGATTTATTCCATAGAATAAGGAATGAGCATGTGTGAGCAACTGCCTAAATCTTGGGATCTGGTGTTGGTAGGAAGCCTCCATTCCTGGTTTCGTTCCAGGGCGCAAATGAAGATATGTTTTTCATGTGCTCAGAAATCACAGGAAATTCATATTTCAGACACAGCTACTTCATTCTTTTTGTCATCATAAAGGAAGCTTCATGGACCTGCGGTAGCTGCTGCCTCCAAGTGACCTGGTCTCTGCTCTCGCACTGCTTAGGCTTTGCTGTAGATACCAGCACTGGGGAGCAGTGGAGCTAGCGAGGACCACGCCAGTTTGCCTGCAGTGCTCAAGAGCTTCCCAAGTCTGTGTCTCCCAGGAAACAACTTCATCGAGTGTGAGGAAGCTCCGCATTTCCAGCTACTTGCTCGCTTCCATGGAAAGGCTGTAGAAATGCGGCAAGTCGCAGTGGGTTCCTGAAGAGCAAGTCAGCTTGCAGGAAAACCCATCCCCAATCCCGATGCAGCAGTGCTGGCTGAGCAATTTTAAAATCTGCCTTAATGTTATTTGAAAATTCAAGGGAAGACAGTGGTTTATGAGACATGTTGCTACCCGCCTGCAAAATACTTTGTGCAAAATCCCTATTTCAGCTTGTGCCCATAGGGGGCTTATTTGCTTTCAATAGGAAGATTGGAGAGGAAAAAGAAAAAAAGCAGAGAAAAATGTAATTTTCGAGTAGAGATGAAGCACATGGAGCCTTTTTCACCGCAGCTGGGGCTGCGGCACGCACGGTTCCCGCGTAGGAGGGATCCTGGTGCAGCCGCACGCACAGGGGCAGATGCCCTTCACGAGCAGGGACATCAGCGCCGGGGCCGGTCGCCCTGCTCCCCTACCCTGCTTGTGCTTTAAGGAGCAGCGTGGCTGCAGCCGAGCTTGGCTCTGCCACCCAGGCTTTCTAAAATAAACTGAAATCTTCATGGGAGCGCTCAGAAAGGTTTGCTTCTACATGGCTGCTGAATAAACAGAAACCAGGAGGATTTGCTGTAGAGCACATTCCAGACCTCAGCTATAATGCCAGAGGTCTGAGCGAATCAAAATACCATGGCTCTCATGATAAATAACCATCAGAGATATCTAATCATTGTTTTTAAGCAACTATGGGCTGGCAGAGAAAGCAAGGGTGACCTACAACAAATGTGCCTGCCCGTGAGGAAAAAGGAAGAAAGAAGGGATGTGATGGCACCATCCTGGAAGCGATGTGAAGCCCTGATGCAGCCCAAGATGCCTGTCTGGAAGCTGATGCACCTTGCCCAAAGCCTTGCAAAGCCCTTCCTGCAGCGTGGAGTGAAGGCAGCAGCAAAGCTTAGCCAGAACTAGCAAGAGCTGTCCTGGATGAGCTGCGGTGAGGTCTTTCCTTGGTGTCCCTGAAGACCTGGACCACTGCACTATCCGCCCTGTTATGGGCACCTGCAGACACAACCCAAGACCAGATGCTTTTAAAAACATTTCTAGGCTCTCTGTAGACACAAAAGTTAATTGTCAGCTGAAAAAAAAGGAAGCTGCCTTTTGTGTTTGAAACTGTTTCCCAACTCTGTGGTTAGCAGAGAGGTCCCAAAGGGGCCTCAGAGCGGAGGCCAGATCGGGGAACTGGTGTGGAGCAGCGCGTGCCTGATGAACAGGAGCTCCTGCCGAAAGATGGATGTGGCTTCTCATCCTACTTTGTGGATGCATCTAGCACACAAACAGAGGTTTATTGTAGCAGGCTGCTGCCAAGCATCTCTCTTGGGCAGGTGACTTTTGGGAACTCCTTTTTCAGATAGGGAGCACCAGGGATGGTGCACCTGAAGGAAATATCAGAGAAGCACAAAGGAACAAGCTAGAGAGGCGGAGCAAAAAGTAAAGGAAAAAAAGATTCCAGAAGACCAAAGCAGAATGTGAATGGAGAATGATGCATGGAAATGGGCAGCTAGGGAAGCAGACACCAGGGAGCACAAGGCAGACCGAGGAGCCAGTGCTCCAGCAAGGAGAGGGAAGAAAATACCAACAAGGAGATGGGGGCTCTGAGTGGCCTTTACCAACACACACTTGCTTGTTCCAGCCCGAGGGTCCCTGGTGCCTGCAAGGCTCCCTGCTCCAGCGAAGCACAGAAGAGTTAACTCCCCCTCCGCTCTCCTCCAGAAGACAGAAGATGGAAATGTTTCGTACTGAGCTATTTTTAAATCGTTCAAGAAATGCATTGCTAACAGAAGAACAGCATAACTGACATTTCCCAGAATCAGCTGATGAAAGTGCACAACACAGCTCCTCTTGGCAGTCCAGAAAAGGTAGAACAACTTAAAATAGGTTGCAAATAGAAGGGAAAAGCAGGAAACCATTAGAGAGCCCTGCAGGCAACCCCCCAAAGTCCACTTTAACTGCTAGCCCTTGACCTTAAGGCAACAGAGAGCAATTAAGCCAGGAGACCAGGAGATGCTCATTTCCCTGTCGCACCTCCAAATAGCTCCAGCTTGTTGCTGGAGACCACGGGCATCGATCCCGATGCCACTTGTCCCTCTGCCACAGGAGCTGCCTTTGGGATGAGGGGCTCTCCGCACCATATAGCCTGTGGTTTTCCATCTGGGACGGATGCTGCAGGGATGGAGCATCCGGAGGGATGGGGGGTCCTTGCCACGCAGCCTGGGCTGAGCCCTGCCGCCTCGCTTCACGCCACTCACCCTCTGATTCGTAGGCTCCCTTATGGAGGCAGCATGTGGCATAAAGTCATGTATTTAAAAGGCAGCCAGAAAGAGGCAGAGGCATGACAACTCAAAATAGCAAAAGGGTCTGATATGTCCCGGGTAATCACATACGCGCCACTCTCCTCAGACAGGAACATTTTCTATCTGAGGGCTTATTGTTTAACTGTTAAATATGAATTTTGCAGTGATCATTCCAGAGTAATTTTCAAGCAGGAAAAAAAAATCAAATAGGAGTGAATTTGGGCTGTTATACAGCCTGAAACAGTCAGGAGCTCAGGAGATGAGGTTACCATGGTCTCTTCTGACCCCCTAGTGCAGGAAGAGATGCATTTCCTTGTCAAAATGCACCAGAGAGCAATACAGCAGGCACTGAAACGAGGTGGTGCAGCTAAAAACAGGTACTATGAAAAGCTTGGCAGAAAATACCCTTCCTGTTGGAATGAAGGCAAAAATTCTACTCGGATCATAAATGTGCCTTGCTCGTTTCACTTTTATTTTCATTACAGGCCTCAAAACAAAACCCCTTTTCTGGCTTGGTTTGGGGAGCCAGGTGTGAGTTACGCTCCCGTCGCTCACCTCCCACATGGCCAAGACGAGGGGATGCGGGGGAAAAAGGTCTCCCGAGCTGGAAGGGCCCATGGGAGGGAGCGCCTGGACAAGGATGCAGAGTGTGGGCCAGCCTGACGTGCTCGACGTGCCCTCCGCACCGACGGGCCGAGCGGTGCCTGCGAATATTTGCAGAGATGTCTCGCAGGAGGCGGGCAAAGCAAAGGGGAAAACCTTTCAGCTGCGAAGAAGAAATAGCAGCGGATACTGGTGGTAGCCCAGGTGTGTCCCTGGATGAAATACGGCAGGTAGGAGCAGCTGCTGGTGTGTGTTGGTTCAGTCTTTCCTCTCCAGGGCACCTTTCAGATGCGAGGAGCCCACGTGCTGCACGACATGTCCCGCATGGCCGGGGCAGTTGTGTTACACGATCGCTGGCACGCTTTGCTCTCCACTGGACACTTTACACCGAGCCTACGAAGGTGCTCCACGAGCCCGGCAAGGAGGTTGTCCATCTGCCTATCATGTCACTATGTCTGGAGAAAATGGACTCCTGCAGGAGGGTTTAAGATTTGATGCTCTCCTTCAGGAGGAACAACTCTCAAAAACACTCAAGTTTACTTTCAAAAGTAAACTTTCAAAGTTTGTTTTTCCTGATTCTCTGAAGCGTGAGGCGGATCTGTTGAAAAAGGACTTGGCCTATTTTGCCGTGTACTCCTCTCCCACGCGGCTTCTGCTAATGCAGGCCACGAGTTACTCCCTGACACCTGATACTCCCCGTGGGCACCTCATGGGTGAGCAGGGTGCTGAGCTGGAGTGCACCGCTTGCCACCGCATCACGAACATGGGAGCTGTGGCCAACAGGTAGGAAATGTGCCAGGAGCCACCAAACCAGCAGAGTCAGGAGCTCGCACGGCCACTTCTTCACTCTGTTCACTAAAATAGTCTTCTGCCTGGTGGAAGGCACACTGAGGAGAGGGGAAGAGGAATGGGTTTGGGAAATGCTGCATCCATTTGTATTGTTTTGTGCATGCAGGGGGGAAAGAGATGGTGCAATTTGCCTGGAGGGTCAGTTCCGCAACTGGAAATATTTAATTAAGTGAATTATTTTCCTAGTAGTACTTTAAAAGGTTATATCCCCAATTAACAGTGCATTAGACCTATTCTGAGCCCCATTTTGATATGCTCAGCGGACTGTGAGGAATTTACTGCCAGCTTAAGACAGATGAAAAAAAGGTAGAAGTTAAATCAGTGGCCAAAAGAAGTTTCTGGCTCCTTGTCAAGGCACCCACATGCCTCATTACCTGGGTTTAAAACCAACGGAGTGGCTTAAGAGGGCTGTTTATTACTCCCTCCCTTTCCACCTTTGCTGAAAAGAGGGCTTGGGCTCCAAAGCCTCTCTTTGCTAAGTTGTACTTCTGCTTTTTTGCACGTGCATCCTTTCTTGCTCGAGCGTGGTATTTGCATGCAGCTGATAACGTGCCACCTGGTAACTGCTCCTCTCACGCCGCTTGGAACAATATCCTGCCCCTGCTCCAGCTGTTCCTACTGGGAGCACTGTTACGCCCCGCTGCGAGACCCGGAGCCAAGTGATCTGGCGGGAGGGAGCTGGTGTTATTGGGGTGAATGTATGCTCGCCCTTTCCTACCCCAGGGTAAGCGGAGCTTTTCGTCAGCTATAAAGCCTGCTTAAGCGACGGGAACGTGGCTCTGCCAAAGAGGAACGTTGATGCCTCTCTTTATGCCGGCCCTCAGTGTTGCACCGTGTGAGGCCTCCGGCTCTTTCCTCTGGCTGTCCCAGTTTCCTTGGGGTCCTCAGTAGCACTGGCACAGAGCTCAGTTCACCCTAGCTCTCACACCCCTTGTGCCAACCCAGGTTTAGCAGCAGGACCCTTCTCTGCCCGCCCCAGTCACCAGTGCAGACCTGGCTGCCTGAGCCACGGCTTGCCAGAAGTTAGGGATGGGGAGGACTATTGCATAAAGCCTCCTCGCAGCTGTAAACTCCATCTCGCTGCTTCTGAAACACTCCGAAGGAATGTGATGAGGTAGCTTTATTATTTTTAGCCTGCTTTCCTAAGTGAATTATGCTTATGCAATTACGTCTCTGCAGCCCGACCCTCCCTGCCCCTTGTGCACGAGCTCTGACAGCTTTTAAATCCGTAAACTAATTGTAACCAAATGCAGTAGATGGGGAGAAGGAGTGTCTGAGCCGTGTGGGAAAGCGGCACGTGGGCAGGCGGGCAGCGTGTGCCCTTGCCAGTCTGCCACCAGCCTCCAGCTCTTTCCTGCCTTCCCAGATGTGCCAGGGTGGCTGGATGGAAGAGACCTGGATAGGTCAGGGACAGGACATCAGTAATTCTCAACAGGATTAAAATCTGCTTGATTGGATAAGGAGAGGGTGCTGGAACTTGCTGCGGCACATCGGCAGGTCCTGGGCAGGAGTGCATGGGACACTCGTGCTTGCTCTGCAAAGCGAGCCTGCTAATGCAAAACAAAATACTGAAGCTTGAAGGGCCAGGCTTCCTCTTTCCAGACTGAATTACTTCTCTCTTAAGGTGCAAAGTATCCCAAAGCTGTGTTTGTTGAAACACATACAAAGCCGCGATGAGGTGACAAATAATTTGTGCAGTACTTGCTAAGGGGATGAGTGCAGGTGTATGTGAGCTGCTGCCTGGGGCGTCAGTGTTCAAATAGGAAGGAGCTTTCCAGGCTTGTGAAGGTTCCCAGGCCGTGGTGAACACTGGTGTGACCTTCTGGACATCAGTGCAGGCTCTGTGAGCACCTGTGTGCATCGTGTCCCAGGTGTCAGGGGTTCGGGGTTTAACATCTGCACGAAGAATGACCATCATTAGACTTAAGGTTCACTGTATATGAAGAGTGCGAGACAATTATGTTCAAAGGGTGGGTGAGGAGTTCACGGGATAAATCGCTCAGCATGTGCATGCATTGTATGCAGCATTTACTTATTAACTCAATTAACCAATGAATGTCATAATTTTCTCCAGAAATGAAACAAATTAGGTATTTAATGAATACAGCATAATTGTGTTATAGATAATGTTATGACGGGTGCAGCTAGGACAGCTGATGGCAGAATTACACCTTGTCTTGTCTGCTGGTGTCAGCCTGGTATCCAGCTGTCTGAGCAGTCCTAGGCTGCCCTTGTTCCTCCGATATCAGCTTCTATTTCCTAACTGTGCAGCCACATCATCAGCCTTTTATTCGTGCTTGAACATTTCTTCTTCAGTATCTCCCTCGAGCAGAGTGGTTCTGCTGGGGAATATGGGGTTTTTTTTAGGGAGAAGCATTATTTCTTTAATGGTGCTGGATACAAGCTGACATTTAACGGCAGAGCCCTAGCTAACGCCAAGCCTGTTTGGATGATAGAAGTAAAGGCAGCCTGAGTATAATTTCTTTGTCTACCTTATAATT